GGCACGCGAATGGGGCCCTAAAAATTTTCCTCTTTTCCCATCACCCTGGGAGGCCATCTTTCCTCCTTCTCCTCTGTTTTCATTCCCCACCCCCAACCAGGTTCTTAGTTTATAACCCCTTTGGAATAACATCTCAGGATTCTTGGGGAGATAAGAATCACCAGGGAATTGTTTGAGAGCTGTAAATGACTTAAATTGGTTAGGATTCTAATTACCACGAAATGGCTTCATTGCCTCCTGCCGATAACAGGGCTGTAACCTTCCTGCCCTGGGGAGTACAGGTCCCCACCCCAGGGGTCACACAGCGGTCAGGGCCCTGGCAGCTGGGGAAGAAGAGAGAGGCTTTCTTCCCCCCCTACCCCGCCGCTGGCTCCAGGAACGGCTAGGAGCAGCCTGGGCTGATGACAGCCCGGGTGGTGGTCCCACAGGGACCCTGTCGGCAACTCCCCTCCCTCTGTCACCCCCTCGACTTCCTGGGGACCTTGGCAGGCCCCTGCCACTCTTGCCACTTGGACTGCCCTTCTATCCCGTGTGGAATCCTGGCGCCTAGTCCCATTTAGTTATTCTGTTGTCCAGAGTTTACCACGGTGGGGCATTGTGGGGAAAAGCGTCTGTATAACTAGTCATAATGCTGGATTTATTCATTCATCTGTCCATCCTTCGTCAAATATTTATGGGATATTTACCTTATGCCAGACAGTGTACTAGAAAGGAAAACAGACTCTATGAATAAGGGGAGTAGTGTATACACACACACCCTTTATACATTCATAGTATAAAGAATAGTATATATACATACACACATATATGTACATATGTATACTGTATATGTTATAAACGTATATAACATATACATTTGTTTAAAGCTTTGACATCGGACAAGTCTGAGTTGAAATCAGACCTTTGCTGTGTGACATTCAGTTGCATCCCCCTCTGACACTTATGGTGCCTGTGTCATAGGACTGGGGTGAGAATTAAAGCATTTGGCTCATATAGGACCCTCCATACATGGAGGCCACTATTATCACAATAAAGGTACACAGAGTTGTGGGAGTGAAAAGGAGGAATCATTTTAAAAGGTAATTTATAACTTATCTTTGATATCTATCTAGAGAGATATGCATGTAACAGCCACCAGCAGATTCTGAGCAATTACTTCAAAAGAGAGATCAAGGGCAAGGCGGGCAGGGCAGTGTTTGAGTGGGGCCTTGAAGCATGAGTAGAATTCCAATAGCTGGGGAGAGGGGAGCGCATTCCTAGCCAAGGAAAATGCAGGGCAAAGGGTGTGAGATAGGAATGTACCTGATGTGTTCCAGGACCCTCAGATGATTTAGTGTGGTTGGAATGCGGGGCTCACCAAGGGCTGCAGGAGAAGAGGGAGTCAGAGTGGTGAGAGAGAAGGGACCTTTGGAAAACCTAGTTCCTGTGTTCTTTGCATTGGCCTTAAACTTCTCTTCCTGTAATTCCTGTATTGGTCCTGATGCTGCCCTCTGGGGTGCTTGCACAGAGCGAGTCCTCCCTCTTTCTCCTGACAAGCCCTTCAAACCTTGGATTTCCTGGAGTCCCTCACCTGTGTCCCAAACATACCCGGTGCTTTCATGCGACCCTCAGGAGACCTGGCTTTTAGAACGTGTGCTCCTGTTCCTTCCAGGTCATTTTTTTTTTCTGCTCTGCACTCCCTCTTTTAAATGAATGGCTTCTGGATTAAAATTTCTTTATTAGGAAAAATTTCTAGCATATACAAAACTAGAGACGATAGCTTATGAACTCCCGCACGCTCATCAATAATTTTCCACAACTATGATCATTTTTGCCAGTCGTTTTCTCTGTTCTCTCCTCCTCTGTTTTGTTTGCTGAAGTAGTTTGAAGCAAATCCCAAACATTACATCTTTTGATGCATAAGATTTTAGTATGCATCACTAACAAAGGAGGGATGTTAAAAACCTGACCATGTTATTTTGACAATCAACACAACAGAAAATTTCAATATCCTCTATTACTCATGTTCAGAGTTCCTTGATTGTATTCGAGATTTTATGATTAAAAAAATCAAGGTCCAGAAAAGATTCATATATTGCCTTTGCTTATTATATCTCCTGTTTCTTTTACTCATTAACAATTCCTCCCCTGTCTCTTCCATGCTACAGATTTGTTGGAGAAACACAATCATTTGTTCTGTTGACTATCCCATATTCTGAATATGACTAATTGCTTCTTCCTGGTATTTAATTTAATTTATTCTTCTATTGTCTATACTTCCTGAAATAGGTAGTTAAGTCTACAGCATAATTGGAGTCAAGTTCTTTTTTTTTTTTTTTTCTTTTTTAGGGGAGAACAATTCACAGATGGTGGCGTGTGTTCCCCACTGCCTAATGTTTAGGAGTCACACAAGGAGTGTTGTTCCACTGTTAAATGAGGCGGAAACTGATGGGGGTTTAGATGGTGTCAGTCTGATCTCTCTATAGGTCGTCTCTTCTGGACATCTCTTCTGTCTACCCTTCTCTCTTAAAAAGAGGCACCGAGGGGCTTCCCTGGTGGTGCAGTGGTTGAGAATCTGCCTGCTAATGCAGGGGACACGGGTTCGAGCCCTGGTCTGGGAGGATCCCACATGCCGCGGAGCAACCAGGCCTGTGAGCCACAACTACTGAGCCTGTGCGTCTGGAGCCTGGGCTCCGCAACAAGAGAGGCCGTGATAGTGAGAGGCCCGCGCACCGCGATGAAGAGTGGCCCCTGCTTGCCACAACTAGAGAAAGCCCTCGCACAGAAACGAAGACCCAACACAGCAAAAATAAATAAATTAATTAATAAACTCCTACCTCCAACATCTAAAAAAAAAGAGGCACCAAGAAAGGGCTGCATCAGTCCAGCTGTTGTTGGATTATAGAAAAGAAGTATCACCCACACCCCTAATTCTGTACCTCATACTTCTGTTCATGCAGCCAAAGCCTCCCTTTACTCATTCTGGGGCTGCAGCACACTGCTAACTTCCACTAAGCTCACTTTAAAAAAAAAAAAAATCTATTTATTTATTCACTGTTGGCTGCGTTGGGTCTTCGTTGCTGCGCACGGGCTTTCTCTAGTTGTGGCGAGCAGAGGCTACTCTTAGTTGTGGTGTTCAGGCTTCTCATTGTGGTGGCTTCTCTTGTTGCAGAACATGGGCTCTAGGCACATGGGCTTCAGTAGTTGTGGCACGCGGGCTCAGTAGTTGTGGCTCGCAGGCTCTAGAGCGCAGGCTCAGTAGCTGTGGCACACGGGCTTAGTTGCTCCACGGCATGTGGGATCTTCCTGGACCGGGGCTCGAACCTGGGTCCCCTGCATTGGTAGGCAGATTCTTAATCACTGTGCCACCAGGGAAGCCCTGAGCTCACTTTGAATAAATCCCCTAAGCCTCTTTTTCATGGGTTACTGATAAGCCATCTCTCTTTCTTCAGGAACTTTCCCATTTGGTTTTTTGGTCTGAAGTAAACCTTATATTTATACAAATAAACCTTATATATCTTATACATATATAACATTTATATATGTATTATATTATTCAAAATGAAGTTTTGTTTTGTCTCAGCCAACTCTTCAAGGTTCGTTTCCATTGTGATTTTGTCATTATAGGAAGGCTGATAGGAGAAGGGACTGCTGAGAGCCTTGATTTTAGCTCCTTCACTTTATAGATGAAGAAAATGAAGTATAGAGAAATTCCCTTTCTTGAATTAAGTTGCTCAGGGTCACGCACCATGGGGCAGACAGTTATGCTGGTGACCCCTGCTGAACCACACTTCTGGGTGGTCACTCGATTATGTAGCCTCCGCCCACATGGGGGAGTGGTCATGTGACTCTCCGGCCAACGAGACATTAGCAAGCAATGTTGGAAGAGGCTCCGTGAGCACTTAGGTACTGGTGCTTGTCTTCTTGGAAGGGTCACTCTGGCGATGCCAATGGGGAGGGACCTCCAGTGGCTGAGAGCACAGGGTGATGGGGCTAGAGAGACACCCAGGTAGCTGTCCATAACCTGCTGCTCCATGAAGAAGGACAGCAGAGGGTTGAGCTTCTCTGGAGCATCTGAAAGCTTCAAATACCTAATGATATAAGTATAAACTCAAGGCTTCAACCTCGACTTCAAGCAAATGAACCAACAAAGATCAAGACATGCTCTTGAGGGCCTGGAAGTGAGGACTAGAGACCCCAGATGCAGTAGCATGGTTTGAGCATGGCGTGGGACACACAGGGTGCTCAAAACCACAACCAGATCCATTCCTTGGTCACGGTGCTTTGAGGATCTTCACGAGGGCTTTAGTGTAAATAGCTGGGCATTGCTATTAGGAAGCAGAGCCTGCCCTTGATAGTTTGCTGAGTTGAAGTCTGCAGAGAAAGCTCCACTGAGTTCCCCTTCCAGGTTGCTTGTGGGTTCAGCCATCTGCAGCCCATCCTTTTGTTGTCTTTATGCAATAATGCTGGGATTACAGAATCCATTCAGGTACTGTCTGAACAGGTACCTGGATTGGGTAGGTGACTCCTCTATCTAATTACACCAAGGAAGATTTTGGAATCTAGCTCGATTCATATTTTATGGAGCCTAAGTTTTATGCAATTCAGGGGACCTTTTCAAAGCAGGAGAATGCAATATTACAAGTATCAAATTCAGTCCAAGATCTTGGAAGGGACCCGTACAAAGGAGGAACCTCCAAAATGAAGTTTCATAGCTTTTCAGTAAATCCACCTCTGCTCCCATTTATGTAACAATTCCTTCAGCCAAAGTGTTCTTTCTCCTACTTCTTTACCTCTCACACTCCTACTAATACTTGAAGTATAAGTAAAACGTTCCCTTCTCTGGAAGTCTCTGGTTTCCCTAGGCAGATTGAATCACCTCAATACGGTGCTCCCACACTGCTCCATTTAACTCATATCCCCCCAGATCCTAATGTTCTGTCTAACCTAAGTGTCTGTCCTCTCCTGCCAGATCCACTCCTGAGGCCAGGGACTGTGTCTTCTTGTTTTTGTTTCTCTAGGACCCAGAAGAGCACTCTGTAAGTGTTTATGGGATGGATAAGCCCTTGTCGAATCCACACACACACACACACACACACACACACACACACACACACACAGCTTCCCAAGGTGCTACCAAAGGGCAGGGCTCTGTTGTAAGAAGTGGAAAAGTCCTTTCGTGTGATGCAGCGAGTTCTTTCTGCCCATCCACTGCATTTAACTCCAGGTCGAGGAACCAGACAATTAGCTGGAGTGACTCAGCCCTGAGGGGGACCAATTTTTTTAGCTGAGACCCCAGATTAGCAACAGCTTCCATTTAGAACCTTTCTTTGCAGAGCCTGAGGCTCATGGCAAACACTTTCATTAACCCTGATCTTTTCGTTAACACTGAACCTTTGTGGGGGTAGGGGAAGGGGTCAGTGCTTATTCGAGCCAATTTCCGGCTAGAACCCCGGGGACCAGAGAGAAAGTGAGTCAGTGTCTCCTGGGAGCTCAGGTGACGAGTTGGGCTCAGACCTTGGCTTTCTGAGGAACAAAGACCATCAGAACTGGAAGGGGCCCCAGGAGCCACATCTTGACCAATGTTATTTTAGAGTGGAGGAAGCTGAGCTGTCCAGACGGGGAGCAAATTGGCCACTGCTGCTCATGATGGGGACGGGACCAGAGCTGAGGCTTCCTGAATCCCAAGTCAGAAGTTTGTTTTGTACCATGAAAGTCTGGATAAAGAGCACCTAGAGACCCGCTGTGGAAGATGTTAAGCCTAACCAGCGCCCTGGGAGGGGAGAAGGAGGAAGAGGCAGATGACCTGCCACTCATTGTCTCCATCTTCGGGGGCTTGTTATGTTTTGACTAAATGATTCTCCTCCTTTGTGTACAAGAAAAAGAATTTGTTTATTTGGTTGCTCTTGACTCCCAGCCTGGTTTTTAGAGAAATCATGGCAAAGGAGATAGGGCCATAATTCTGGATTCAGAAGGCCTGAGTTCAAGACCCAGCTCTGTGCTTTCTGACCTTGTCACCCTGGCAAGTCACTGCCTGTGTGGTAGCCACAGTTGTTTTGAATGATCAGACACCCATTTCCAACCTTCTCCTCCATCGCCAGCCTCCATCAAACAAACATGCTTGGAGAATCTAAATATTTGTTCTCTCAACTTCCCTCGCATCTAGGTATGGCTTTTTACAAAGTTTTGGCTACACAGTCTTAAGTGGAAGTCTGCTGGGGGGTTTCTGGGAGGGCTTTTTTTTAATCTATTTTTTTAAATTGAAGTATAGTTGATTTACAATGTTGTGTTAATTTCTGCTGCACAGCAAAGTGACTCAGGTATACACATATATACATTCTTTTTAATATTCTTTTCCATTATGGTTTATCCCAGGATATTGAATATAGTTCCTTGTGCTATACAGTAGGACCTTGTTGTTTATCCATTCTATATATACTAGTTTGCATCTACTGACTCCAAACTCCCACTCCATCCCTCCCCCACCTCCCCTCCCCCTTGGCAACCACAAGTTTGTTCTCTATGTCTGTGAGTCTTTTTGTTTTTCCTGATAGAAGAGACAGACATCACTGACACTGCTTTCTTTGCTTCTTCCTAATTGAGTGCAGATGTGATGGCTGGAGCTGAAGCAGACACTGTGTGTCCATGGGAGAAAGGTCAAGTGAATCATACACATGCTGGCCATACCTCCAGGTTTCTTGTTAGATGAGAAACCCAAATTCACATTGGTATAAGTTACTGTTGGTTTCTTGTAGCTGAAAGCATTCTTATGTGGTATAAAATAGATAAAATTTTAGGTTATCTCTAGTGAATGACTATTATTTGTCAACCCAGAATCCATTTCCCTTTCTTCTGGTAGCAGCATCCCAGTTTTCCCAGGGGATCCCCTGTTCCTCTACTGTCAATCCACATGGTTGGGGGTGGAGCTGACTTCACCTCTGGCTGTACCCTAGGGTCCGTCAGAACAGTTCACACCCTCCCCTCAACCTTCGGGATAGACAGATTGAGGGATGCTTTGTGCCTCGGGTGTGGCCAGCGGCACCCAATGCCAGGACCTTTGTGATAATCCTGGGAAAGGGAGACTCTTCCCCTCAGACCTGAGAGGCTGGCTGACGCAGAGGAAAGCAGAGCGGAGAGATGGGAATGAGGTGGAGACATAACTGAATTTTAGATGCAGCCCCACTCCCACTCTTCAGTTACTTGAGCTGACTCTTCCATTTCAGGAGTCCAGACTTAGTGACGAGGTGGGGCCACTTAGCTTTAAACAATAGTTGTCACCAGAGCAGGGGCTCAAATCCTTGTCGAAAGTGAATCCATGTTTTGCCGAATTCTGCAGCTGATCTGCTTACGAGCCAGAACGCAGTCCCCGGGCTCCTCTTCCTTATTTGCCCTGTTAACATCTCACTCAGAAATTTACTAGAGGATTTCTGTCAAGCCATCGCCGCTGTTCCAATGCGGATCTGCCCTCTTATTAGACCACCATGCAGCAAATCAGCTTCTTGGTCTGATGGCCATAAAAGGTCTTTTCCACCTGACCATCTTCTGCATTTATTTCCCTGAGATTACATTAAAATTCCATCCCACAGCCAAGAGCTCTTGGCCCGGCACCTTCTGTTCTCAGATTCCGAGCCTGCCTGCTCCGTGTTCTTTTATTCTGTGAATGAACTTGATCTCCGTTGGATTTTGTCCCAGAGCTCCTGGTCCACTTCTCCTTGTGCCCTGAGTCTGCCCTCCCCGCCTCCAGAGGACGCTTTCCAGACCTCCATCCCCTCCTATGATTCTCTGCAGTGGCTTATTGGGTGATCCCCCTGTGCCCACATGGGACCCCTCCAGCACCAGAAGAGGCAGAAAAGCATTTTCTTTGATAGCAAGAGGGCATGTTGTAAAGCACAAGAGAAGTGAGAAAAAGCAACCATTGTCCTGTTATTTGTTAACATTTAATTTCTAAAAGTATATACTTAGGGCAAAAAATTCAAACACTGCCAGGCATCAGGGAAAACAAATATTCCTCTCTCCATTATGTGAGACCATCAGCCCACTCTCTGGAAGTAATTGCTGTCAGGGTTTGTTTTGTATTTGTCCAGCAACTTTCTAGATATACAGATGTGAGTACGCACACACACATAACAAATATTGAGTGTCTGCTATGTGCCAGGCCCTGTTTTGTTCACTGTTTTGGGAATACAGCAGTGTACAAATCAGAGAATATCCTTGACCTCATGGAACTTTCATTCTACTGTTGGGAGATAGACAATAAATAAAGAAATGCATACTATGTCAGGTATTGATAAGCACTGTAAAAATTAAAAAATGAGGTAAGGGGTAGGGAATGACAAGGTGTGTATGTGCGTGCTCTCTTAGGTAGGATGGCCTGAGGGGGGCTGTCTGAGTACTATTTGATTGAGGGAGTGAGCCAGGCAAATAGCTAGAAAAGGATGTTTCAGGCAGTGACAGGAAGTGCAAAAGCCCTGGGGTAGGATTGTATTCAGCACTGTGGAGCAGTAGCTGGTAGGAGGCCAGCAACGCCGGAGCAGGGAGCCCTGGGGAAGATGATGGGAGCCACGGAAACTTCCGTGTTGGCCACGGGAAGGACTTTTTGACTTTATTCCACGTGAGGCAGGGAAGAACTTGAGGGTTTGAGTCATGATCTGACTCACATTCTCCCAGCATCCCTCTGGCTGCGGAGTGAAGAATAGAGCCCAGATGGGGCAAGGTGAGCACAAGGAAACAGTGAGGAGATGCTCGTGGCTGGCATCAAGGAGTGGAGTTGGATGCTGGGTTTGCTGCTTGATCAGAAAAGATAGTCATCAGACAAATATCATATGATATCACTTACATGTGGAATCTAAAAAAACGATACCAATGAACTTATTTACAAAACAAAAATAGACTCACAGACACAGAAAACAAAGTTATGGTTACCAAAGGGGAAAGGGAGGGGGAGGGATAAATTGGGAGTTTGGGATTAACATATACACACTACTATATATAAAATAGATAAACAACGAGGACCCACTGTTTAGCACAGGGAACTATATTCATAATAACCTATAATGGAAAAGAATTGGAAAAAGAAAATATATTTATAACTGAATCACTTTACTATATACCTGAAGCTAACACAACTTTGTAAATCAACTATACTTCAATTAAAAATATATATTTATAAAGAAAAGATAGTCATCAAAATTGCTGTAAAGATCTGAGCCTGAGCAACTGGAAGAAAGGCGTTGCCATGTGCTGAGGAGAAAGGCCGAGGAAGAAGCACGTTTGGGGTGGGGAGTGAATAGAGTTTGTTTTTAGACGTGTTAAATTTGAGAGTGATGTCAGGTGGCCGCGGCCTGCAGCAGCCTGAAGCAGGGTTTCGGTTCCCAGCCAGAGACTGAGGTCGGGTCGCAGCGGTGAGAGCACCAAATGCTAGCCACTCGACCAGTGGCCAGTGACAAGGCCCTGGCCCTTCGGCTTTGCAGAAAAGAATTCCCACAAAGATGGAAAGTAGTGAAACAAGTAAAGTGTTTATTAGAAGAAAACAGAGTACAGTACGTGGGGATAGACACACGGGGGTGCTCAGAGAGGGAGAGAGTCGCGCTCTCGTGGTAGTTTAAATCACTTATTTGGGGCATTTCTTCTGGGTTTTCTTTGGCCAATCATTTCCACTTGCCTGGTTCAGAGTCCGTATTTGGTACATCTCAGGATCCTCCCGGGTGTGCGCGCGTCTCTTAGCCAAGATGGAGTCTACTGAAGAGGCCTATGGGTAGCTAGCATCACTTACTATGGGGTGGCGCCCCCTCCCGTTTGACCTCCAAGGAGCTTTTCTGTGCATGTGTAGTCGGGGAGGTCTCCTGACTTTGAGAATGAGGAATATGTGGTCTCATGTTCTATCTGGGCAGGGCCCAGCCTCCTCCCTCGATTGTCCGGCTGTTTTCGTCTTGGAGTATCGGTCCACAGAGAACGAACTCCAACTGTTTGCCCTGGGGGCCCACCTATCTCCTGCCTCAAGATGACATTAGACAGTCAAGTGGAGGTGTCAGGAGCACTCAAGGAAGAAGTCTAGATGAGAAATTCATGTGGGTGTTA